TAACAAAATATATTCGGTTGAATTGGAGCTTAGACTTGGTGCTTTTTTTTACCTTTTTTTAAAAAGGTAAGTTTTTTACGTTGAAGAAATACGTCGACAAAATTTACCGTACCCAAGTATTCGCACTTTGCAAAGTCGTATACAAGGTTTAAAATTCAAACCAGGTATATTCGAAGATGTGTTCAATATGTTAAAAATTAAAGTTAATATAATTCTTAATTAAGATTCGAATTCATTGTCGTTTCTGAAATTTCAAAATTTAAGAATTTCTTAAAAAGAATTTATTCAGTGAAATGATGCTATGCAACCATTCCATTGGTTGAAATTAAAAAATTCTTAATCTTGAAATTTCAGAAACGATTACGAATTCGAATGATAGGGAAAATTGATATGAATAATTTTGTTTGTTTTTAATTTTTTTGCAAATCTTTTACTTACATTTATATTAATCATTAACAATTTACTTTTTGTTTACAATTTTGTAATTGAATTTCAGATACAATCCTTTATTACTCAAGAAAGACATGCTGTGCTGTTGATTGACGAAATGGCTATAAAACCAGGTTTGCAGTACGATAATTCTATAATGTCAGTCGTTGGTCGACCTACCATGAAATTAGGAGGAGGATTAGATAGTTCTGATAAAATAGCAACACATAGTCTTGTTTTCATGTTGTGCGGTATTTCCACAAAATGGAAACAGACTGTTGCTTATGAATTCACAGGAAGGTCATTCTGTTCAGAAGAAATGTATAATAAAATTATATCAATTATTAAAAAAACACATATTATCGGAATAATAATAAAAGTTATAATTTCTGACATGGGACCACAAAATAGGAGTTGGTGGAATAGAATGAACATAACTGTTAGTAAATCTTGTAAGCTTATTACGAGGCATGTCCAGAAAGTAAGTGTACTGATTTTTTCACGGGCGTAGGGAATTTTTGTTGACAAAAGCGGTTACGCTGCGTTGTAGTGGAAGCCCTCTCGATTCGAATGAGACGTGGAACAGCTTAGTACGACGAAAACTGTGGCCGTAGTAACTTGACGCGCAAAACATGTCTATACAATCTCCCGCCGAGTGCGAGGTACGAGCCGTGATCCGTTTCCTTCTCGCAAAGGGAAAAGCGCCGTTTGAGATTGTCGATGGGATTAAAACTGATTATGGCGAAGGAGGTGTGAACCGTACGAATGTGTTTAAGTGATGTCGCGAATTTAAGAATGACAGAACGAGTGTTCACGACGATCAGAGAAATGGAAGACCTTTGATTTTGATTGACGCACTTGTGAAAAAAATCGAAGAAATTGTCTGCGACGATCGCAGATTCACGTTGGATGAAATGAGTGTGAATCTGAGAGATTTGTGGAAACATCATCTGGGGTTGTTGGTACATCCATGTAAACTCTCTCTTTTAGCCTTCCCCACAGGAAAAAATCGGCAGAAGTCAAATCGGGTGAACGTGCGGGCCAATTTTGAGGACCTCCTCGTCCAATCCATCGACCCGGATAGTTTCGATTCAAAACTTGTTGAGATATTCGTGAATAATGCGCTGGGCATCCATCGTGTTGAAACCACATATCCATTCTTGTTTGAAGTGGAACATCTTCCATTAGTATGGGTAAAACATTATCTAAAAAGTCGCTGTACATTTGACCATTCAGATTACCTTCTATGAAGGGCCAATTACCTGTAGTACCTAAAATACCGCACCAAACGTTGACACTCCACGGGCGTCGATGTTCAACTTGCCTTAACCAATGGGGATTCTCCACTGACCAATAATGCATATTATGTCGATTCACTTGACCACGATTCGTAAAATTTGATTCATCAGAGAAAAGTATCTGTGAAATGAAATTATCATTGACTGCCAGTTGTTCCTGTATCCAGTTGCAAAAATTCAAGCGATTTTGAAAATCGTCACCATGCAGTTCTTGATGTAGC